AGATCACGTGTACGGTGTTTATCTACACAAGGATGGATTGATGAGGGGCAATAAACGTTTCGACGTGGATGACGCGGACAACATAATTATCGACGGCGTACGATACGTCGGTCTTTACGAGTTGATTTTCAAGATAATTCCCGACGATGCCTTCTACACGGAAGAATGTGCACAAGTACAAGAGCATGCTGTTGATGACGAACGCGCACAAGCACAAGCATCATTTGCAGGGTCGATTATTAAGCAACAGAGAATACAAGTACAAACACGTAATAGCGCCATTGATGTCGATTACACCCAAGAAGCAGAAGAAGAAATTTGGAAAGGGATTACCTCACGCAATGACACTGAACGACAACGCGATCGATTACGTGCATTGGGATGATCCCAACGAGCTGGTAGATCGTCTACGATTACTCGACGCTTCACACCGAGCGGAAAACAACACTCACGATAAGGAGATGCTGTCGATCATCGAGGAACTTCGCGAAGCAGGTCTTATTATAAATTAAATCGCGTATCGACGAATCGAGTTAGTCGAGTGACGTCAGCGAGAAAACATTTTTTTTTGTATCCTGTGTATTACGCATCGAATCATGAAAAAGAGATCCGACGAAAAGAAAAAAAGTTAGCTCCGAGAGACGTCGGCTCGTCGGCGAATTGCACGCTCCAGTGAGAAGAAATTTTCCGCGAAGGCGCGTCATAGTCCGGGGATACGACGATCTGTGGCAGGCTGATATCGTTGAGTTGCGCCCGTACTCGAGTTGAAGGCGTCAGTGGTTCAATCGCACGCTCAAGAACGACATGTGGAAGATGTTTACGCTCAACGGCAAGTGAGTCGACGAGCTGCCGCGTCTCGTATCAAATTACAACGCGCGCAAGCATCGCACTATCAGCATGCGACCCGCCGACGTAACTCCCGCGATCGCCCAAAGACTCTTGGACACGGTGTACAACGCGATAAAAATCGCGGGTCCAGCGAAATTCAAAGTGGACGATTCGGTACGCGTGAGCAGGTACAAGACGATTTTTGAGAAGGATTACACACCGAATTGGACCACCGAGGTATTTACGACCGTTAAAGTGCAGCGTACCAACCCCGTAACCTATCTTCTCGAGGTCTATCGCGAAAAATCCGTCGCTGGAGCGTTCTACGAGCACGAGTTGCATCGCGCTACTCATCCGGACGTGTATCTCGTGGAGAAAGTACTGCGCAGGAAAGGAGACAAGATGTACGTCAAGTGGTTGGGATTCGATGGATCGCACAATTCGTGGATACACAAAAACAATGTCGTTTGAAAAAATTTTAATTCACATACTTTGTATACATATAACAAATATATCAATAAGTATATAAATGTATAAAACATTTTTATTAACCCTTCCATCTTTTTTTTAAGTATGCAGATATATGATTTAATGATAGTAATACATATATAATACGTATATAAATATGTACAAAGATGAAATATTAAAAATACATTGTATGAAAATATAGAAAGAAAAATACATGAAACATATACGTTACATGCAAGTTAAGATAATACATAAGAAATAGTAAAATATAATAATAGTAAAATATAATAGTAATACATAAGAAATAATAATACATAAAACATAATAATTATATAAATGTAAATAATTATATAAATGTAAAATACATTATATGTAATACATACACGCGTTACATGAGGTATAACTTAAGATTGTAGTAATACATGAACCATAATACTAATACATATGATACGTATATAATATTACAAAGGTATCCGCCAATGCCCCCACGGTAACGTCTCCGTCAAGTCCGGTACGACGTACCGTTTATCGTCGTATGGACTCAGAGCGATTCGGATATCGTGTACACCTCGTGCAGTTTAGATCGTATACACGATTGACAACGAGTCATTTCGATATCTTCGTTCAAACACCGCGTGTAATCGTCAAACGTTATCGTTCGCGCTACGACGTTACTTTTTACGCCTTTCGCTTTTTTAGTGTCCTTCTTGCCGTCCACTCTCACCGAGTCCAACGAATTCGGTTATTATCGCACCGTTGTTCTCGTCCTTCATTAGTCCCGGTATTTTTTTGTTCGCGAGAGGCATACCGTACGCATTATCCGTCGAATAATCGCTCGTGTCGAATCTAGCGATATCTCGTTTCATCGTCTCGTAAATATCGTCGCATTCTATGTGATAAATGAAACTGTCTGTGTCAGTGTACGTAATTTTACATTTGTCGTTATACAGTGGTAACATGTACTTGTGGTGAAATTCGTACAAGCAGACTTTTGATATGTCCAGTATACACATACCTACATAAACCGGTTTGTTGAACTTCACCTCGAGTTTGCGCAGTTCGACGGCGATTAAATTCTCCGCAAAGACGCTACGATTGTGAAAATTCGGTTTCGCGATCATTGCCTCCGCGCCGTATAGTCCGTCCCATTTTGTTAATAATTTTACGTCGACGTGATTGCGCACATTCTCCATGGTTTTGCCGAAAACCGCGTTGTTTATTAACTAATACAAATTTTTTTCGATTTGTTTTTCACACAAGTTCTGAAATTGGTATTGAGTTGAATGTACTCGCGAAGCATGGAGATTGTGCGAATTGTAGCACCCGATGGATCTTTGTTACGCGAAGACCGTCACGAGTACATTGCTGCAGATCGCGATAGTGGATGATGTCACGCTGTTTATCGTACAGCGTCGCTAGAAGTTTATCCTCGCGCTTGCCAGGCGGCTTGTCGCGCGTCGGGCAGAAAGGTAGGTCAACGTGTAGATGCTAATACTCGAGATCGACCTCGAGAATGTAACCGGTAGGCGAATCCGGAGCGATCGTGCTCACGTCAAAGTTCGCAACGTCTTTGATCCATTGAAATTCAGCGTATGGCAATGGTTGAGATATCGCCCATCCATATAGATTGTTAACACCGTAGTACATTAAGTATGACGACGGTTTCGATGGGTCGTACGAATGCATATACTTGTTATTGGCCTGCGCGTATCTACCTGAACATTGACTGTGGCCGTCGCGTATACCGCGCTCAATGAACAGAACCATATCTATGTCGGTGAGAAGTTCAAATTTTACGCGCGTATGTTTCAGCATGGCATCCCATGTGAAACCGGGCAATGTATAGTAATGTGCAAGATCAAGACCATAACTCTCTACACAACTTTCGCGAAAATTTTCGAAAATATCGGCCAACAACAAGACATCGGTTTTCAAGTACAGATCGCTGTACTCACCGAGCGTTTGGATGGAGAATCGCTGTCAGACGTTCGCGGTGTGAGCGTAATCGCTTTCGGATACGATATCGCCCGTCAAGGAACTGTAAAATGATTCGCGAGGTGGTAAGCACGTGTCCTGCAATTTTTCGACGCAGTCAACGTACTCGTACGGAAATACGCCTTTTCGCGTGAGTAATTCAAATTCTTCGTTCGATAGTGTTGAAAATTCATAACGTACGATTTTTAATTTATCTTTATCGAGATACGACGCCAATTTATCAAGGCTTGTACTCAAAAATTTGAAAGTATCGATAAATCTTAATTTGATGCAAAATTTCGAGATTCTTTTTCTTTAGTTCTGTCAACGTGTTTCTGTAAACGATATATATTTTTCTTTGGTTATAGGAAGTATGTCTACTTGTCCGTCGTACGCGTTAGCAATTTCCTTAATTATAAAGTGTGCGTCGTAGCCCGATAAGTTGTGAAATATGATTGGAATATAAAAGGAATTTTTATAATTTAAATTATAGT